AACAGCAACCGGCTGACATTCACATAAGTCTTTAAGTGTTGAAGAGAGCTTTACATAGATAATATCATTTGAGTCTAACAACTATAAGAAGCAATATTCCAGGTCTTATTACACTCATTCTACAGGTGAAGAATTCCATGGATTGAAAAATTCCTCTTGTCCAGGCTGGGAGGTAGCATTGTAAAGACTATCTATAAAGCTATTCCATCAGTATATATGAGGTATTACAAAAATCTTAAAATATCCATTAGGCTAACCTTAAAGCTTAGCTAAAATATCCATTTAAACTAAGTTTTAAACTGCACTAAGACTTTTGGAACACCCTGCATATCTTGGACAGACATTGTAAATTGATAGTGAGGTGTGGGACAGAACTAAACTGAAGGAGAACAGACTAAACTGTCTTTGGAAAATTGCGAAGTTCCTTAAAGACCCCATACTTCTTTCTGAAGCAAAGATCACCAATAGTCTTCTTGCACCGTATGGCTATGAGTAACGGAACACAATATCGTCTCAAAAGAAATACTGTTAAGCATCATCAAAGGACAATAGAGAGGATCATGGTAGCCATGAATCATCTGTAACAATCACAAATAAGTAATTGTGTAAAGGATGCCACCAAAAAGACGCATGATCAAAAAAGAAGATAGACCAGTCACACGGAAAGAGTGAGGGACAAATTACGAATAATCTATATTCTGTAATGTCAAAGAAATAAAAGGACGGATCCCAGGATGTTGGGATGACCTGTGTGGTGACCTAATAGGAGGCTATGGAAGAGTCATATGGGACAGGGTAGTATGAGCAGGTTATGATCTGAATCAGAGGAAAGACTATCAAAATCAACGAATTCACTCATCCATTGGATCACTAGAGTTTAGAAGTAGAACAGTTTATATCAAAGAACAATTATGGGGTTATAGACTTGTACCTGGAAGGAACTTTAGAGGTCATCAGAGGTGGGATTTTAACTCAGGCCCTCTAACTCAAATTCAATTGTCTTTTTCCATTGTAACATGCTTCCCCTCTTCAAGACAAGTAGGAAAAAAGTGTATGTGAAATGGTTCAGGCCTATATTGAGAAAATGTGGGGTGGCTTTTTTTCTAATATAAAGTGCAATGGAATAGATAATAGGTAAGGAAAATATTTTTTTCCCTCAGCATTAAGTAATAGAAGAATGTAAGCATCCCTTTGCAGCAGTCATCTCTGTGTGGCTGAATTGGGTTTGGTATTTTAACTTTTTAAAATATCTCCTTTCCTTTTAAATTATTTTATTATTTCAATAAGACTCGATATTCCTTGGTATTCTCATTTCAGTCATATATTGCATTATGTAAAAGGCCTTTGTGTCTTAAGTTGTGTTTCTCACTTTTCCTTACTGAAACATAAATACAGGTTTATCATCAAATAGAATAACTCAAGAAAATAATGCTTATGGAAAATCTCCCAGCTTTTCTATATTAAAAAGAATAAATGCCTGCAATTTTATTGATTTAGAAGTACATCCAGCCAATTTAAGTTACAGCCTTTCAGACGAGGGATAAATCAATGCAGTTTTACAACTTACAACCAGTGCTGGCTCATGGATTCTGGACTAAATTGGTCACATTTTTCCTTTTCCCACTTTCCCCTTCAAATGTCTTCTTTTTCTCTAAAATACTAAGTCTATTTCCCCCTTTCCCTATGGTAAGAGAAATGAGCTATAAGAAACCTCAGAAATACTGCCTTTCAATAGGCTATTTGGGCAGGTATATGGAGAAAGTAGAGCAACTTCTTTATATGTTCATGTATACATACATCTGTGTATGTATGTATGCATGTATGTGTCATTCTGTCAAGCCCAGGAAAGGTACCATGGTCAAGACATCTGGGTAGAATAGCTAGTTATTGGTCAAAATTAAATGGAGATTTAACTGCTAGAGCCATTTCTGATCAAAATTTGATTACAAAAATTTGAAACAACCTACACATTTATTAGCAATTATCCACTTAAAGCACTTAGCACAGCATCTGGAACATAGTAGGAGCATTGATAAGTAATAGTTAATTGAATGATTGCCATCTTCATGGATTTCCTGGTTCTATTTAATGAAAAGAATAACTATAATTCACATTTTTAATGCTTATAGTCTACAAAGTATAGATTATATGCTTATAGTCTACAAATAAGTTTACAAATGCTTATAGTCTATAAACAGCCCTATAAAGTAGGTCGTATTATTGTCTTCTTTTACAGATGAGGAAACTAACATCCAAGATTAGTAGCTTCTCCACAGTAAAACACCTAGCAAGTTGTAGAGGCTAGCCAGAAACCAATTTCTTCCTGTTTTTAAGCTCAGTCCATGCCATCTTTCCTATTACATGCTAAGCATTAGGAAGGTGTGAAAGAAGCTTGATATTGCCATTGTAGTTAAAACAGCAAATAAGGAAGCACAACTACAGTGAGGGAACAGGAAGTCAGCAACTTAAGCCAATATCCTGAGCAGTACACCAGCCTAGCTTAAATTTTTAGGCTATCTGTATCTCGAAAATGCAAATGGGTAAAGATGGGAATTCTACTTCTGTGGCTGAAAACTACCCCCCACAACAATGCATCCACAAGGCCATATAATGATTGAAGAGAGAGAGAGAAAGAGACATGAAGCATCTTGCTGGAATATAACAGAATAACAGGGCAGGAGGAAAGGTTTCAGGATGTATCCCTTTAGTTCATCCATGTGTTTTCCTTAATATGGGAGTATTTCCCCAGAGGACTATGTGTCTGTCCGGCCGTGATGCTCAGGTACCCTAGCCTTCAGCATGGATTATACTACTATGGAATAGTTGGTGATGAATTTCTTCTACAGTTAAAAAGAGCTATATCCTTGAGTCTTACCTTCTGAAATAACTTACTCAGTTCCTGATACTTTATTTCGATGCCTGGTAGTCAGGTCTAGGCAGCTAGGTATTGTAATGGATAAAGTACCAGGTCTGAAGTCAGGAAGACTCATCTTCTGGAGTTCACATCTGGCTTCAGACACTCACTAGCTGTGTGACCCTGGGCAAGTTACTTAACCCTGTTTGCCTCACTTACGTCATCTGTAAAATGAGCCAGAGAAGGAAGTGGCAAACCACTCCAGTATCTTTGCCAAGAAAATCTCAAATGGGGTCATGAAGAGTTGGACATGACTGAAACAACAACACAACAACAACAACAACAACAACAACAGCAATGATCAGGTCTAAGCATTGAAGATTCTAAGCCCTGCCCTCAAGGAAGTTATAATATATTTTCTGACCTGAGCTATAAAATTGAGAACAGCTAAATGAGACATTTAAAAATAGCAGAAGACAACAAAAGAGTTGTCCCAAGGTAGGTCATTCCTAATTTTCCAATGAATTGTACAAATAATAAATACTAAAGGCATTCACTCCTGGCTAGAGTAGTCATTGGGGGCTTTATGACACTGATGAGACTTAAGTTAGCTTGTGAAGGGGCATGGAATTTGGGGAAAAAACTGCCCAGGTTTCCACCAATCCTTTTGGAGGCCAGCTTCATTTTTGTCCTCTACTTCACCAGAAGTGTTAGATTCACTCATATCAGGCTTCCATGGGGGAAGATGTATTTTGCTTCCTGACATTTTAATTAGTTTTCAATTACAGTCCAATTTCTGGTCTTATTGCGTAGCCTACAGAGCTGGCCCAGTCATTCAACCTCTCTTGTTCCAAAGAATTAAAAAAATAGGAAGTAAAACATTCTTTTAAAACTTAAATTTTGTCTATTTTGAACCTTTAAAAGCAAACAGTGAAAGAGTCCAGTAAACATGCCAACCTGAGAATTAAGGAGGTTTTTTTTTTCTAAAGACCTCCCAGATCTTCAGCATTCAAATGATTCTGATACAATTGAAGAAAGACTTATACTTTCTTCCAAAGTCAAACTGCTGCTCTGAGACCACAGGGGCACCTACCAGATGCAGGTGAGTGTTCCAGGGGCTAAGAAAGTCTCTCAACAGCTTCAGCATTTATTTTCTTCAAGACGCTCCAGAGAACCGGTATTTGCCACTCAGTTATTTTACAGTTGCTTAGTTTGTAAGATCGTGACGTATGCTTTCAGAATATATTTACCCAAAGTAAAGCAGAATGAAGAATATACAAGAGAAACACCTCCCATTTTAGGGCTTGGTTTTATGCCACTCAGCATTCACACTGTCTAAAATTAGTGTCTTTGAAGAAGAAACACAAATCATTAATAATCAGCCTGCTGTGCCAAAAACATCTGAAAGAATATTTCTCAGCCCTGGAAATACCAGGATCCAGCCAGGTGTCAGAGCTGAGCCTATTTACCACATCTTTGAAGAGCAGAAGTGACAGCAACTAAAGCCACTAAGTCTTTGTAAATACCACTGCCCTTACAAAGACACTATCAGTATTGTTGCTTCTGGATGCTCCCACTTCAGCATTCTGCATACTACGTTGTAGTCTGCTTTGCCGTTTCCTTCTTTCATGCTGGCCTAAAAGGGACTTTAGGGATTATTTAGCCCAAACCCCTCATTTTACAGATGAGAAAACTGAGGCCCAGAGAGAAGAAATGTTTATCTTAAGGTCAGAACACCTTAAGATCATAGATTTAGAGATGGAAAGGACCTTAGGTATCATCTGGAATACATCCATTATTTTACAGAGGCGATAATAAAGACTAGACAGAGCTCACAGAATGGTACCACCATAGAATTAGAATTAGAAAGGCCCTTAGAAACTATCTAATCCAATACCCCCCTTTTATTGATGAGGAATCAAGGCTCAGGCAAATTTCAAATTAAGGGAATTGTTCTGAGTCACACAGCTAGTAAATATCAGACAGTATTTGAACCCAGATCTTCCAGGCTCCTCCATTATCAACACAGTGCCTCTCAAGTGACTTGCCAAAGATTACACGGAACCAGTAAGTATCAGATGCTGGTATATGAACCACAAGACCTTTGCTTGTAAATTCTATGCTTTTCTATTTTACTACTACTCACCAACTAAGCAGTTTTTCTCCTCCAACTTAGGCTCTTGGTTTTAGCAACTTGACACCCTTCTCTTTTCTCATGGATAGAGTCCCAGACCCTAAAGAAAGAACCCATGATAAATGAACATACTGAAATATTATTGTGCCACAAGAAACAATAAGAATAAGGAATTTTTTTTAAAAATAGGAAGACTTACGAACTTAACATAGAGTGAAGTACACAGAAACAAGAAAACAATGCACACAATGACTACCATAATCTAAATGAAAATATTACAGGGTAGTCAAACTCCAATTAATTGCAATTACCAATCTTGTTCCTGGATAACTGATGATGAAACATAAAGGTATCTCCTTCATCTCAGTAGTAGGGGTAGGAGACTATGAATGTGGAAATGTTGTATACACTGTCAAATATTATCTCTTCTGTCTGTTGGTTTCACTAAATGTTTTTCTTTGTTAAGATGAGGGTATTTTAAGGAATAACTGGTAGATAAATAAAAGCAATAATAAAACTTAAAGAAGAAGAAAAAATGACCTTTGATTCACAAGTCCCACCTGGTCAGCTTATTTACAACAGTAGATAATCTATTTCTTTTTTTGCCACAAAACATTACAAAGCTTAAAGAACTTAATCTATCACTGAGGTCTAGTTTATCATACCTTGCTCTTGCTGCTATGAGGACCTATGATCCTTCATTAGTCTAGTGACCAGTCTCAAACTCCCTTGTTTTAAGGCAGGAAAGAGCTCATCTAAATGTCTTGTTTATATGTAACTCTGGAAAATGGGAGTCACATTCAAGGATGCTATCATCTTCCTTAATTGTGAAAGGACAGGGTGAAAATTTTAACAGTTCACTTAAATATACCCTTCAGTGAGAAAAGGGTCCTAGCGATATGCCCCCTGAAGAACAGACCGAAAAAAAAAAAGAAAATCCTTATTCTATTCTTTTTCCAGATTCTTCCCTGGAGTTGGTGAGAGAAAAGGATTAGTTCCATGGTGTTAATTGCTTGTTCGGCTTCGGAGCTTGGTTAGGAAATAAAGAGATCATTATTTGTGCTAATTAAAAAAGGATGAATGGAAGGAAGGAAAGAAAGAAAAAAGGTAAGAAGGAATATCCTTCCAAAGAATGAAGGCCACACAACCTGGCCAAGATGAGTTTAAAAAACTGGCCACATTAATTGGTCTCACCACTTTTCAGCTATGGCACCAAAGTCTTTCTGAGTCAAGAAGAGAGAAGGCCAGTTTGGCTAACCAACAAAATGTGGGTATCTGGGGTGAGGATGGGTGAGAGTTGGTAAACTTCAATGAAGCTTGAAAGATAAATTGGGGCTATGTTTTCGAGGTTTTAAAACCAGAGTTTATGTTTGATTTTGGAGGGTTTAGGGAACCACCAGAATTTAACCAATAGGGCAGTGACATGTCAGATGTCTGCTTAAGGAAAATCACTTTGGCAGCAGTTTATAAGATGGACTAGAGCCTTGAGAGACTTAAGGTAGGGAGATCAGTTTGGGGGCTGTTGCAATAATATAGAAGAGAGATAACCAGGGCCTGAACTAAAGCTGGTGTCTGAGTGCAGATAACAACTAGTTGGTTAGTCATGTGAAGGAAGAAATGGCAAGATTTGGCAACTGATTGGATGATATTGGATAGTCTATTGGGGTGAGGAAAAGCCGTAAGTTAATGACAATGAAATAGAGATCACATTGGATTGGCTCAATTCTCAATAAAAGGCAGAATCCTCAGCTGAGAGTAGGAGGAGAGGGAAGTGTAGAAAGTTCAAAGAGAGAAGAGTTGAGGAATAGTTTCTATGGGGAGTGAGACAGAGAATCAATTAGAAGAATTGCCTTGCTCAAATAAGAGCCTAGTTGAGGCCATGAATTTGTCAGGTTCCCAATGGGCACTGTTGTGAGACTTCCTCCAGCTATATTCGGTTGCAGGTGAGGAGGAATAGAAGAGGCAGATGATAGGAGTAGGGTTGAGTTTTGGCAAGAGAAGAACAGCAGTAAAACTCAGGTGCAAGAAATCAAAGAGAAAAGGACAATGTAGAATTGAAATGGCTAACTACTGGGTTGATGTTGGAGAGGGAGAAAGTGAAGTCAAGGCAGGGAAAATGACCTAAGGAAGTACAAGAGTACGGAGGGATTAGAGGCCTAGATGAAATAAAAAAGTAGATCTAGGAAGGGTGAGACATAAGGTAAAATGATAGGAGGTTATAATCAGGTAGAGAAATGCCATTGTTTTAAAGTAAGGACGTGGAATATTTATGCACAACAGTGAGATTAGTATATGACCCTCTGTGTATGTGCCAGAGGTGTAGGTCATGGAATTTAAGAACACTAGGGAATTGTGAGGTTAGGGAATTTGAGGGACCAACTATGTTGCTATTAAAGTCCTTGCATAGTCAGGAAGTGAAGAGAAGATGATGAGCCAGGTACTGAACTCCTTTAAACAGGAGAGAAAACAATAGTATATTACAGTCACCATAAAAATTTGAATAGTGATAGGAAGAGGGAGATGAAAGAAGTTATAGAATTCCTGCTTATGACAGAGGATGATAATAATGGATAGCTAAAAGAATGCTAACCTTTTATTTACCTTTTTGTTATATTTCTGTTTTCTCCACTAAGATGAAATCTCTTCTTTGGTTTGTTTTGTTTCCAATTCAACCAGCATTTATTAAGTGTCTACTATGTGCTAGGTATTGTGGTAGGTGTGAAGACACAAAAACAAAAAATAAAATCAGTCCCTGCCTTCAATGAGCTTATATTCTTATCTGCAGCACACATGGTGAACATAGTACCAAAGATACACTGTCATGAAATACCTACAACATACACAGAAACATCTATTATAAGGGATGAAGCAACAGAGAAAGCCTGAAGAACTTGACAAGTCTCCAAACCAAATAAACACATCCCATGATACACAGCAGAATGATCTTTGGATTAAAAAAAAAACAGTTTAAAAAAATTGTGTGCAACTGAGCATTGAAAACCAAGAGAAGTGTGGAGAAAGTGGACATCTAAAAAAGGAAGAAGTAATTAACCACAAAGAGCAAACATGGTTTCAAAAGCAAGGCATACCAAAATGACCTCAGTTCTTTTTTTTGCTACAGGCTTAAAAGACTGGTGGATCAGTAGAATGCTATAGGTACAGTTAATCTAGATTTAAACAATGGCTTTGGCTAAGCCTCTTGTACAAATGTGGAGTAATTGGGGGCTAGATCAGAGTAGATAGAGTTAGAGGAATTTAGAACTAATAAATCCCTGGACAGTTTAAGTGTTCCCAGGCATCTGTGTTTAGGCCAACCTATACTTCTTAACATTCTTTAAACAATTATTTAGGTGAAATCACAAATGGAAAACTCATTAAATATTCCTATTAATTAATCTAGGACATCTAATCTGTTGAATGATAAATAAATATCCAAAAAACCATGATAGGCTAGACCTTTGCATTAAATCTAATACAATGAAATCTAACAGGGATAAATTTAAATTTGTATATTGTGCTAAAAATCATCTTCATAGGTGAGGAAGCATTATTAGACTGAAGTTTGAAGAAGATCTGGTGGTTTTAGTGGGCAACAAGTTAATTGTGAGTCAATGGTAAAATAGTGAGGCCACAAAAGCTAATACTATCTTATGTTACATTAAAGGGACTTAATGGCTAAAACTAGGGAGGTGATAGCCTCTCTTATTTCTGCCAGTTCAGATTATATCTAGAATCTTGTGTTCAGTTTTTGGCACCACATTTAAGAGAATTTCAGAGTGAAGATTGTCCAGAGAACCATAAACAGGATAGCAGAAGAGATCATGTTATATAAGAATTAGTCGAAGGAACCAGGATTGCTTAATCAAGAAAACTGAGGACTAAGTGGAAAAATGATATGTGTTTTTGAGTATTTGAAGAGCCTTCTTGAAAAACATGGATTTGCAAATTGCAAAGATGTGAATTTTGACCTGATGAGAGGAAAGAATTCTTAACAGAATTTTACAAAAAATAAATGGGCTACCAATGTTAGGTAGTTGGTTTCCTATCACTGGAAGCCTTTAAATAAAGATTTTTTTGACCATTTGTTAAGTGCTAGAAGGGATTTTTTTCTTTACGTACCAATTGAACTAGATGGCTTTAAGGTCCCTTGCAAATCTGAATTACTGTTATTCTCTGAAAAGACAATGAACTAGCACAGAGTCTTGAACACACATGTTTAGGGGGCAGGAGGTGGTTAATGAATTAGCAAAGAAAAGATTGAGGAAAGGATAGTAGTCAATAACAATATCAAAAAAAGCCAAGGGATGATACACTTGCTATATAGGAGGAGGGGGTAACTGACAATGTAAAAAGCTGTGGAGAGGTTAAGGAAGATGAAGACCGAGAAAAGAACATAGATGCTAAGAGATCACTGGTAATTTCTGAGAGAGAAGTTTCATTACAGTGCAGTAGCTTGCCAGGGGATATGCAGTAAGTGGCTGGGAAAAAAATGGAGTCAGATAGTCTAGACTATACTTGCAGTTTAGCAATGAAGATAGCAAGGTGAAAGGAAGGATTTTTAAGGATGTGGAAGACTGAGCATATTTACAGGCATAAGAAAAAAACAGTACAATATAGGGAGTGACAATTTTTTTTTTTAATTTTGCAAGAAAAATTCTCCAGAAAGGAGGGGATTTGATAAAGGGCATAAGTAAAAGAGTTAGCCTTGGCAAAGAAAAGGACTAGTGTAATCCTTCAAGACTAGAGTATATAAGGAGTGAATGGGTGAATGTGTAGAGAGGTTTAGATATACAGGAGAAATGAGAGAGCTTACAGTGCTTAGCCTTGATTTTCTCAGTAAAGTAGTAGGACAAGTGAGTGAGGGTTACAAATGACATTGGGAGCCTTAAAACAAAGGACAAATTTTGAAACAGATGTTATCATTACTGAGATAGTTAATCAGAGATGAATTAAAGGATTGAAACGTAGCAGTTAGGGCCAACTTGAGGTTAGATAATATGAATTCATAGTGTACTCAGTCAACACAGTTTTTGTGACTTCCTCCAATAATATTCAGTAGCACAGGGATATAGAGATGGAGGACAGTGGAAGTGACCCGAG